AGATAAAAGATGCTTACACACTCAAATTTTTTGAAAACAATTCAAGTCGGTTGCCAAAATGGTGCAATGATGTAGACAGGGTGAAGCTTCCATTTTGTCAAATCCAAGGGAGATACCGGATGGAACTACCTGGATACAATACCATGGATCCGTACCCCCACATGAATGAAAGGTGCCCATCCTTGCCACCAAAATATTCAAGACCCACAGGTTGCTGATTAGTCATGTAGCCCTCATTTTTTGCGTTTTCCATGCCCAATACTATTTAAGTTTTAGCTTGTACATAATTTTCTTCTGTACACAACTTGTATATTTAAGGAAAAAAGGCTTAGTTTGTTGTTATGGTATGTTCCGATGGGTTAACATGTAACGTTAAAGATTCTTGATAAGCTTGATGTTGGTTACTAATTGAAGTAAAAAGTGGCTCTGCGGGGAGAAAACAGCATGAATGTAACACACTGTTATTTTAATGTCTTGTTCTGGCATTTGAAGCAATTTCTTCTCTGTGTGATCTTGTATTTTGGATCAGTTGGGCCAGGTCAAGAGCTGTTTGGCTGTGCTAAAAAGTGATTTTGAACATTTTTGTTTAACATCATAACTAAGTGAACTGATCTTAAATGCATTCATCTGAATTAAGATACAATCAATATCTGTCCAGTAGGCAAGAACAATAAAACCAGCAGCAGGTTTCTTGATTCATAAGATACGATCCTTGTAAAGTTCTGAACCAAGTTACAGCTGGTTTTTTGGGCTTATTTGGATTGGAAGTCCTTGAACAGGTACTGGATCCCTTCTCATGGAGTTGTCATTACAGCATCATTTCCATGTAAACTGAGTAATTAGATAATGAATTGTGACTAGAGTTTCAATCCTTGCAAACTCATAACCTGAACAAACACGACACCCCCACCCTTTCCTAATGGAATATAGCAATGCCTGATTTTCAAATTGCAAAGGGTCGAATTTTGCAGGTTCTTGAAATATATTGTCGTCCATGTGAGTCATGCTGGTAGCCCAAAATACCTGGTTTTCAATAAGGTTGTGAGTTATAAGCTTTGCTTATTACTTAGAAACTTACTGCAGTTACAACAATGACAAGTTAGGTATTATTCCAAGTAAATCTGAGGTCAACTATGCAAATCCTATTCCAACACTCTGTTGTGTTCATTGATTAATCTGCTAGATGATTTAAAGCAACTAAGTTCTTAGCAACTACAACAAAATCACGTTACTTTTGGTCTATCCCTCCCTCTTATGACTTCTTGTACCGAGATCATATCGGAAGCCTTTATATGCAAAACATGTCCCAACGACCCAAGGGGTATTTAGCATTCAAGATGTAAGATTTGATAAGAGATTGATACTTGGCACCTACTACCAGGTCTTGGACCCACTTATGAAAAAACTAGCGGATCTCTATAATGTAAATAAATTCATTGAAGAGTCGAAGAGTTTCTCTTACCTGCCAACCAACCTTTCGGAATGAGGTATCCTTCACACTCAATGTCTTTTAATGTCTTTCTGAATCCTCCAAAAATTGGAGGAATCATTCTCAGATTCTCCATTGCCACTCTCCAAGTGTACTTTATCTTGGCAAGATCTTCCCATGTCAAAAACTGTGGAGATATGGGGCACAATGATGTTGATATGTGGCAACATGATGTTGATGACTTGGATACTGATTGGATTGTTTGGTTGAAGTTTTGGATGGACTATTTGTTATGGTTGACCCCTATCTGCATTTTTACAAACACGTGTTGAGTGAAATGCGATTTCTTTAGTGGGTTTGATGCTTGAAATGATGCCAAGTATCACCCTATCAATCGTTGGATGGCTGACCTTCTGGTGACTTCTTATATACCCATTCATCTGCCTAGGGTTAGATAGATGAATTCATTATTCACTCTCTCTAAGTCTCGAAGTTCTTGTAACTTTTTCTCTTTCTCTAGATAAATCTTGAGTGATTTGTAATCTCGTTGAGTCGTGTGTTCTTGAGTGAATTTTGATGTATAGATCGAGAGGTTTATATGATGTAATTTTGAGTGATTCATCCCGAGTGCCAAAAAATTGTATTTTGGATGGTTTCTTTGGTTCTGGTTTTTTAATACAGTGGTTTCTTCCGGTGGCGGAAGTTCAAAAGGGGTATAGGAATTCTATTCTGAACCTCTTGGCTTAGGCCAAAAATCTCGTGTTCTTCACTTTATTTTTCTTGTATTTTAAATTTTTTTCACTTTGTTGGTAAAGTTAATTAATCGGTTGAACCTAATCTTAACAAGAACTTTCCAGAGGGCTTGCTCTTTTTGATCTCCTCTTGTTCTGCAAATCCCCAAAACCAAATGGCTGAAATCAATTTAATGAAATTAATGGGAAAAATGGATATGAATTCTATACCAGACACAGCTTTCAGAACAGCTGGATCATTTGCTGAAAGTCGCACGATAAAAGTAATCAGGTGATAGGCTCCAATCAACCTCGTGCATTCTAGAAGGACCTAGAAGAAGAATAACTTGCAGGAGGTGGAAAACTAGTCCGTTGGAGAGTAAAAATGGGAGGGAAAATTAGTTACAAGTAACTTATAAATAAGGAAGAGTTGGAGGAGAAGTGGGGGGAGAAAATTGGGTAGTCACTTAGGAGAGAATTGGCTCTCTCGAAAAGCCAAATACCGTTGTTCTTCTTTTATTTCCTTGTTTTCCAATTTCTGAATCTGCTCCACTTCCAGCAGGTTCATGTCCATTTTATTTACAGTTCAAGAGTAAGATAATTCAATTACGTTTAAGTCTATTTCCTGTTCCCTCAATTTGTCTCAAGAGTATTGTATGAAGTGAGATTATTGCAGGGTTCTATCATCAGGACGGCTGAAGTGTCATGCCCCGCGACCATAATGAGCAGGACCTTGGGTATACTCTCGTCTTCTGATACCAGTTCTCTGTCATCTTCTCCGTGAATGCTGCGTAAGCTGGTAATGAGGTTTGATGAGATGAAGCTCCGTTCTCCACTTCAACACGTTTCTCACGAACAAGGTTTTTCAACATCTTCTGGACCTTTGCACTGGCCTTGAGGCTTTGGCTGAAGCGTGTGAATGGAAAACTAACGGGGGATCGACCACAATCCTCCAAGAATCTGTTTGAAATACTGAATCAATTTCTCTTCATGCTCCTCGTTCAACACCGAAAAGAAGAGAGCATATTATGTTGAATGTGAGTGTCTTCATCAATGGTAAAAACCTAGGTCCATATAAAAGATCTCATAATATACTCTTCGTTTATTAATCTTTTCATAAAATAACATAATAGTATAACATGCTTGGCTAAGCTTATAAATTCTAGTATATTTTTTAACATTGGACCTGTTCAGCAGGCTTCTGCTTTGTAGAAGAGGTTATTGAGAAAACTACATTAGGCAAGTTTCCTGTGAAAGCTCTGTAAACAAAATACTTCTAAAAAATTATTCAAACATGTTCAAAAATAACTTTTAGCTTTTCAAAAGCCCTACCAAATGGAAGATTAATGAAAATAGTATTGTTTCCATCTATATCATCTCTCTATTTTCTCAGTTCGACTGTATGTGATACAAAATACTGTAGCATTTTTCTTTCCTTTCCAATGCATCTCAAGGTGCCTCCTAACCTCATCTTCAATTTTTCCAATATAGAGCTTTAAACATTCCGGTTTGAGGAATGAAGCAAGAGCACTTTGTACTCGCTTATGATCTTCACCACCGATTTCCAACATGCACGGTTCCCCAGGATCATTTTAATCGACTCGGTCTGATGTTTATTCATTATACTGTCATCGCTAGTGAAGACAAGCTTGTTAGCTGCCTGTCCATGAATAAAAACTGATGGTTTTCCAAAGAGACTTAGCTTGGAGATTGGACCGTATCTTTTCGTTCTTTCAGCTATCCATCTATCACCAGTATTGGCCCTCATTGCCCACAGAAGGCTAATTCTTTGGCCAATGATTGGTATCCCTAGAGATTGATGATGTTCTTCTCCTTACTAGGAGAAAGAAGATGGGTAGAAGATTAGGAGAGAGCAACAACGATATTCATAGTTGACAAAGAGAGAAATCTATAATGGGCACAGAAGATATTCCGTTCCATTTATAAAAGAGTTACAGAATGGTAACATATTGTGTCAATGGTCTTTCTATAACATTTTATATTCCTTCAACTTGATGAAAACAACTAATCATTGCAAAAATGAAAGTTTATAAGAGTTTTTAATGATGATATCAAGGTATGTTGAAAAGGTGCTGTAAGTTATATGCATCTGATTGTTTTTATCTACCTCATATTATTTTTACATAATGTACAAGAAACTTGCTTCTTGGACTGTAGATTAATCTTTTCTTACTCTTTTTTTTTCCTCTTGTTTTACGTTAAATTTTATGTTGGCCAGTGGTCTTACAACTTTACAGATACTTGTATTTTTGGTAAATAGATGTTTGGCTTAGTCACTGCGACCCCCTTTGTGAGGAGGCACCCCTTTTCCCAATGTTATAGGTATATTTTGTCAAGTCCCTTAGACTAAGTGGTCGTATATGAATATTCTCATAATATTGTATACAGAAAGTAAAATGAAAATGCGATACTCCAATATCAACAAGTCTACTTAAACTCCTAGTGTCAATGAAATTTTGCTGTTACAGTCGACGTTTTAACCACAACTCAGCAATTATTAACTTTCACATTTTCAATGTTCAATCATCATTTGCAAGAAATAGGTAGTTATTAGAACAGTATAATCAAATACTTTTAAGCTTTGGATCATTCAAAAAACCTTGTAGCTTGTTTCTTTTAAGTTATAACAGCTCAATTGAAATATTGTTTAGCTCAAACTAACATGCCCAAAAATCCACCATATAACACCTTTCTTTGATTATAATAGTAGCATACTTGACAATTGAAACAGTTTCTTCTCGTCCTTATGTTTCAAGACATGGTAACAGAAAAAACGCAATTTTCTGTCGATAAGATATGCTAGCAGTTACCATTCAGTGTTATCAATTCAAACACACCCTGCAATGAGTGAAAATTCACCAAAACATACACCGGACTTGGATAGAGATACAACTAAACCGAATTATCATGACATTTAAGCATCAGCACAAGCAGTTGCATGCAGACTACCAAGAATGACAATATACTAGCTATACATTTACTATGCCTCAGAAAATGGGGCGTTAGAAGCAATCAGCTTTAGGGTTCACTAAGTATTTTTCTTTGTTCACGACTCTTTTCAGCAAGGCACTGTGATCCAATCAGAGATGTTAACCAGACTTGGTCGGACCTCACTTGTTCATCATCATCATTCCTATGCCAACTCCAAAGTGCATGAGTCGAGTTCATAATCTTGAGCTCACCATGACCAAAGCTTGCTTCGCGGAAAATTGACCATTCAGGCTCGGGTTCTCTGTACCTGTCCAAATTTTGACAAAACTTCTTAGATCCCACATCTTAATTTCAATGTTTGGCAACTATGGTCAATGCAGATTCTGATATGATGAACCCACAAAGAATGCGTTGAGGATGCTAGAATAACTACCAGTCTACCGTACAGGGCCCCTACAACCTAAACTGATAATGAGGAAACTATCTACAACAAACAACAGATAAGCTGCCAATTACAAAGAGAGTAGGTCAATAGAGAGGTAAGGGGTGAGTAATATGGATTAAACCTTAATCCCTAACTCCAAGAGCATTGATAAATGAAAAAGTAAATCATAAACGAACAAGAACACGTAGGTTTAGAGTGGTTCACTTCAAGGTGAGAGCTAAATAAACTTGTCCCGCAGATTTTTCACTATAATGAAGGAGATTACAATGTTTTCCCACACCCGTCTTATCTCACACAGAAAAAAGCCTCTTTTAATGTAGAAACTAGGTCAATCTGCGGTCAAGGGATAAGTCAACAACATAATTAGGCTTCACACAGTCCAATAGGAAGATGGATAAAGTTGAAACTCACTCGAGGCATGTCTATCTTTTGAGTCAGTTTCATTTCCGTTGCAGATGCACACAGCATAGAGAACAAAGAATTTCATATCTTTCAGTTTATTTAACATTACATTCTTTTAGTTATTGCAATGGGCATACATCTCATCAAGAGACAGACTTACTTGTGTGCTAAACCTTCTCTGTTTCCTCCATCACCAATAGTTATGTGGACAGCTCCACAAGGATCCGATTTGCCATTGTAAGCACGTTTCTATTACAGAAGTAACAGATATAAATTGGTAAAGTTCCGATAGATAAAACTAATGACAGAAAGTCAGACGCAAAACTAGTACATAACACCATACCGATCGTTCATATGCATGAACATGGCCAGCAAAAACAATATCCACACCAGCAGCATAAAGCAATGGCTCCATGGCAGCCATCATTTCATCGCCTTCACCTTGATGAGCGTTGTTACTGTTATACCATGGCACATGGAATAGAACAACAAGCCAAGGTGTCCTTTCACGGTCCACTTTTGAAAGATCGGCCTACAATTCAAGGTTCAAGCTGGCTTTTACTGATATCTTCAATGTGAAAAATCAAGTGTAAAAATTGATCCTTCATGAGTAATCAAACGCAACGTTCTTTGACAGAGAAAAAAAGTGTTAATTCACTGGATAGAATATTCTTCAGTGGAACCTAGAAATTGGTGCATATGGACACTTGGATGTTTTTATTGTTCATATCGTCTCAAATAGTTGGACTTGTAAGGAAAAAATTACTAAAGTCAATAACATTATCACTACATCTACACAACAGGTCATGAGACGTCACTGCCACCTAATTATAACTGTGGCATTCCCTAACCATATTTAAGCCATGAAGCTTAACTATTGTATTACGTTCTATGAAAATTAGTCCATACAAATGTTTCATTAATATGATTTCCTTCCAGAAAATATGGAAGTTAACTAACCTTCAGCCAGTTATATTGATCAGAGTACTTGTCATAATCCGTATACGAACCAAGCATGAGAGTATGAACTCCCGCCACTTCAAACGAATAATACAGATTTGAACTGGATCCACTCTCCTCATATGGCATCTTCCATCTCGAATTATAGGATATAAACCCATCCTTCAAGATTGGTATGTTCTCCTTCTCATGATTACCTTGCGTCACCATCCAGGGTCTTGAACTCGCAAGTGGCTGCACCAGATCGCCAAATGTGTCCCACTTATGTTGCATGTAGTCAGCGTAGGAAAGATCTCCCGGGAGCAAATGCACATCATACTTACATTGTTCTATGTGGTCTAAAGTTGACTTCGTCCATTCAGTCTGACCCAAATCACCTGCAACGGCAAACGTAATTGGGAATTGAGATGGTGGGGTTTTCAGCTGGAAATCAGGATCTTCTTCCCCACATCGGTAAAAATACAAGGTGTCGTCTTCCAGCGGCCCGATGACAGTATGGTGTATCTTCCCAGAGCTGTAAAGAAAATAACTATAACTAGTACTCTCTCCTTGAGCTTTGAAGCTGTAGTTTTTAGGTGATATACCATACTCAACAATAGAAGGTGAAGATTCATCATTAGTAACCCATGTGACCCGAATGTGTTTATCCCCAGCAAAGGAGACGTGAACCTGAAAATGGGCATTTGTGCAACAAAGTTTAGAAAATCAATCAGCCATGGTAGCCAATCAAGCAACTCCGTCAAAACAAAATTCTTAGAATTTCTTTATTTTGAAGCTTAAGATGCTCATATTGAACAAATCAGTCTTTTAATCTTGTAAAATAGAATAATAGGAACTCCAACATAATCACCATAGAATGATTTTCGAAACTGAATAAATCAGACTTTAATCTAGTTGTTACAGGTTTTAGTCGATCAATATTTCCTTAATTCTACAACTGCTAATACCTAAAATTCCTACACACTCCAATACCGTAAAATCTTGCAAACCCATATACTAAATACACTGCCTTTAAAATCACAATTAATCCACTCTCTTTCAAGAACTAAGCAAACAAGATAAACTAACTAATTAATCATTTGAAACCCCCAAAAACCAAAGGAAATATATCGAGTGAAGTGAATATTAAGCGAAGTTCAATTCTTTTTTTCTAACAATTGACCGAAACAAACAATATTAAGAATGAATTCCCTTTTTATTTCTAAAACGAAAAATGGGCATTACCTGTTGAGGGTGAGAGGAAGGCTTTGGATTCCATGGAAAATGAAGTGTTTTCCGAGGCGGTGGTCGGACATACTCTGCGGTAAAGGCTGTGGCTGTGGCTAGTGCTAATACTAGTAGCACCACCATCATTATCAGCTTCTGTTCCATGATTTTGCCTCTTTGTGGGTACCCGTGGAAAGTGTATTTGAAGCTAAGAAAGAGATGCAGTGTGAAACAAGGAAATAATCAATTCGATGATTTACGTTAACAGATTGTTGTTTTATCCTGATTTAGTTGTTTAGCTTTTCGTTTCCAGACAAACTATAAAGAGCCCATGATCTATGCCGGAAAATGCGAAACCTTTGATAACTTTCTATTTTTATTCACTTTGAAATTGTGATTAAAATTTATCAAATTAATCAATTAATTTTATTAATAAATTTCATAAAATTCACAACTTTTCAAGTACATATTTCATCAATTTTTATCAAAGTTTATTAAAAAAAAAAAAAATTCTCATCAAAAAGGGACATTATAAAGTAAGATGCTAAATTTCACGGCCCAAACGTTACAATTGAAGAGAAATAATAATAATAATAATAATTGAGTGATCAAATTGATGTAAATTGAATATAGGTAAAATAAAAGAAACCTACAAGTTAGGTAACTAAAAATGAAAAAGAAAAATAATTAAAGACTTATATTGTAATTAAAATGTAATGCGGATAATAAAAGGGGAAGTTTGTTAAATAATCCGACCAAAGAATGTTATTGGTTAAATAGCCTTTCATCAATATTTTTGGATCAAATAGCCTTCATTTACAACATACAATAAACAAATAATGCCAAATGTCGTAAATACACTCACTATTAAAAAAGACCTAAACACCCTTATCAATCCAAATAATTTCCTCAATTCAATTTTTGTCCCCAAAATCACAAACCCCCCCCCCCCCCCCCATTTTCTTCTCTTCAACTATTCTTACTACTCTAAAATCCTATTATTCACCTATTTTGGTATCTTTTGAACATTTATCAACTACATTGAAACATCTTATTTATATTCGAAGAAAAATGAAAGATAATATTAGAAATCTTATGTAAATTGTACATTTATTATTAAATATATTATTGAATAATATTTAAGTTGGTGTTGTTTTTGTACTTGGTGTGTTTTTTTGTGTTACCTACAACTATAGAATGATAATAACACTACAACTATTATACGAAATGTAGAACGTCACTCCAGTCGTTATTTATTATGTAAAACGTCACTACAGTCATTATCTACTGTGGTTTTTTTTTTTTTCCAACGAAAGACATCTAATAATGAACTCTTGAAGTAAATAACACAGAAAAATTGACAATGTCACAAAGAAATGTAGAAATGACATAGTTTTTATATTATCAAGATGGTGAACTCACAAATTGTCCTACTCCTATGTTAATAAACGTATCTCTCAATTTTTGTACATGTCATGTGTATATTACAACATAAATAAATTCAACTTATTATTTTTTAAGGACATGAATAAATCACGATTGCTTATAGTTGTGTTTATACATATAATAGCACATGTGTCATTTTCATGTCCAGTAATAACACTTGTATTGTTTAGAAGTTTTTACCTACATTTAATTTTTTTCAGTAAAATAACATCCAATAACTGACTCTATAATGTATGTAACATAGAAAGGTTGACCATATCATAAAGAACAGTTGAAATAACATAACTTTTATATTGTCGAAATGATGAAAGCACAAGTCATCCTACTCATATGCGTCGATTAAGTTAATGAGCATATTTATTAACCTTTGTACATTTCATGTGCATATTACAACGTAAATAAGTTTTACTTATTATTTCTTGAGACACGAATAGGGAGTGATTGTTTGTAATCGTGTTTACAAATAGAACGATACAAGGGTTGTTTTCTTCTCCATAAAGGCACTTATGTCGTTCCGTTGCATTCTCCAATATTTTGATTTATTTTCAAAGCAAAGACATCAAGCATTGGACCCTCTAACGTAAGTAAAATGAAAAAACATGATAAAGAACGATTAAAATGACATAGATCACGTGATATCGAGTTGGTGAAAGTATAAATTATTCTACTGGTTAATTAAAATATAAATGATAAGTATATCTCTCGGCTTTTGTAAATATCATGTTCATCTTACAACCTAAATGAGTTTAACTTATTGGTTCTCGGAGGCATGAATAGGACGTAGCCGTTTTATAATCCCGTTTGCAAACAGAACGACCCATGGGTCGTTTTCTTCTCAGTAATGGCACTTGTACCATTCTGTTGATTTCTTCTATATTTTGATTTATTTTTAACTTGACGAACTCAAACATTGGACCCACCAATGTGCATAAGATAGAAAGGTTAATCACGTGACAAAAAACGATTTAAATGTCATGGATCATATGATATCAAGTTGATGAAAACATAAGTTATTCTATTGGTTCATTAGAATATAATAAATGAGCATATCTTTCAACTTTTATAAATATCATGTCCATCTTACAACCTAAATGAGTTTAACTTATTGGTTCTCGAGGCATGGATGGATCGTGGTTACGTGTACTCGTCTTTATAGACAGAACGACAAAAGTGTCGTTTAACAGCTATTATGTTGTTCTATTAATTTCTCAAATATTTTATTTATTTTCCAACGCAACAACATCAAATATTAGATCTCTTAACTAAAGAAGGTTAGAAAGGTTGATTGTGAGATAAAGAACGATTGAATTGACATAGATTATACGACATTGAGTTGGTAAAATCACAAATCATTGTATTGATTCGTTAGAAAATGTAATCAATAAGCACATCTATCAACTTTTGTAAACGAAATGTTTATATTGAAATTGAAATGAGTTCAATTTATTGATTCTCGGGGCATGGATGGATCGTGGCTACGTATACTCGCCTTTGTAGATAGAACGACACAAGTTCCATTTAATAACGCTTGTACCGTTCTGTTAATTTTTTAAATATCTTGTTTCTTTTCCAACGTAACAATCTCAAATATTAGATCTCCTGACTTAAAAAAGTTAGAAAGATTGATCATGAGACAACGAACGGTTGAATTGATATAAATTATACAACATTGAATTGATGAAATCACCAAGTTATTGTATTGATTCGTTAGAAAATATAATTATTGAGCACATCTCTAAACTTTTGTAAACAGAATGTTCATATTACAATTGAACTGAGTTCAAATTATTGATTTTCGAGGTATGAATAGGTCGTGACTACATATAATTGTCTTTATAGACAGAACGACACAAGTGTCGTTTAACAGCTCTTGTGCCGTTGTATTGATTTCACAAATATTTTGATTCTTTTCCAATGCAACAAACTTAAACATTAGATCTACTAACTTAAGAAAGTTAGAAAAGTTGATCATGAGAAAAAGAACGGTTGGATTGACATAGATTATACGATATTTAATTGGTGAAATCACAAGTCTTGTATTGATTCGTTAGAAAATATATCAATAAGCACATCTCTTAACTTTTGTAAATGAAATATTCACATTGCAATTGAAATGAGTTCAACTTATTGATTCTCGGGACATGAAAGGGTCGTGGCTACGTATACTCGTGTTTATAGACAGAACGATACAAGTGTCGTGTCGTTTTGTTGATTTCTCAAATATTTTACTTCTTTTTCCAATGCAGCGACCTCAAACATGGATCCCCTAATTTAAAAAAGTTAGAAAGATTGATCACGTGACAAAGAATAGTTGAATTGATATAAGTTATACAATATCAAGTTTGTGAAATCATAAGTCATTGTATTGATTCGTTAGAAAATATAATTAATGAGCACATTTCTCAATTTTTTAAACGGCATATCCATCTTGCAGCTGAAATGAGTTTTGCGGCATGGATGGATCGTGACTAGCTATACTCGTATTTATAGCTAGAACGACACAAATGTAGTTTTCTTTACAGTAACAGCATAAGTGTTGTTCTCATGGAAAAAATTATGTTTAGATAACGGTACTTGTGTCGTTCTTTTAGAAATTTTTATCTTAGTAATGGCACAAGTGACGTTCTCAATGACCTTTTTATCCTCTAAACATCACTTACGCCGTTCTATTAGAACTTTTCATCTCAATATTGACACAAGTGATTCTACTATTTTCAACAAAATACAAGCGATGAGCCTATCTATTAATTTTTTTTTGAATGACATATCTACCTTGCAAGTTAAATGGGTTCAATTTATCATTTCACAAGGCGAGGACGGGTTGTCGTTGCTTAAACTCGTAATGATAAACAAAACGGTGCAGGTGCCGTTTTATTATCAACAACGGCACATGAGCTGTTATGTTGATTTCTCTTTTATTTTCGTTTGTTTTCAACGCTACGACCTTTAGAATTGGGCACCCTAAGATGTGCAGTTCTCATAATAATAATAGAAGTTTATATTTATGTATGTCACTTGTGCTGTGCTTTTAGAATTTTCATCTCAATAATGGCATTGATATCGTTCTTAGGGACTTTTTAAATATTGTAATGGCACTTGTGTCATTTTCATGAACACTTATAAATCAAATATAGTGGTAGTTGTGCCGTTCTCATAAACGTCTTTATTTCAGTAATGATACAAGTGTCGTTCTTATAGACAAGTAATGTTCTCGTCTTAGTAACGGTACAAGTGTCGTTCTTATGGACAAGTAAATTTATAATCATAACGACGGTTATGCCATCATTGGAATGCTAGACTGATAATTAATGAGCATATTTCTCAACTCATATTTATAGATAGAACGATAGAAGGGTCGTTTTTCATTTCAGTGACGGCTCTTGTGCCGTTCTATTAATTTTTCCTACATTTTGATTTTATTCCAGTAAAACAATTTCATATATCGGATCCCCTAATGAATCATAAGCATTTTCATCTGAGTAATAATGTTTGCTCCATTCTCATGAATTTTTGTAACAAACATGAAAACACTTATATCGTTCTCATCTTTCTCTTATAAGTACAATAACGACACTTATATCATTTTCATAAATGCTTATATTTCTAGTAACGTAACATATGTCATTATTATGAAATAATAACAAACTAGAGATAAATGTATAATTGAAACGCAAATATTTAACTTAAAAGACATTAACAAAAATGTAGGAAAAATCAACAGAACAACACAAGTGTCGTTATTAATATGAAAACGACTCTCGTGCCATTATGGGGTTGTTTTGAGTCCCCTTTTTTCAAAAAATGAATTTTGTAATAGTGTTATAATGGAGAATATATGGTTAAAAAATAAGAAAAAGTTTTGAGCTTGTGTGTATATTATTGAAGAACGTGGGGTTAAAAATGAGATCAAATTATTGTTCAAAAATGTATTTTGATGAAAAATGAGGCTCAAACAAAGGTTATACGCGTTAACACGAGTAAAAGCAACTACGTCTTATCTATATCTCGAGAACTAATAGTGGAACTCATTTACGTTATTTATGACATTGTCAAACTTTCTATATTACATATATTAGGGAGTCCATTATTAAATCTTGTTTTGTTGAAAAAATCGGATTTTGGTGAAAATTTTGGAACAACACAAGTGTTGTTACTGGACATGAAAATGACACTTGTGCTAATACGTGTATAAATATGAGTACAAATAGTCACAGTCCACTCTTTCCCTGAAAAATAATAAGTGAAACTTATTTATATTGTAATATGTACATGATACGTACAAAAGTTGATAAATATGTTTATTAACTTAATCGACACATATAAGTGTGATAACTTGTATTTTCACCATTTCAACAATGTAAAAATGATGTCATTTCAATTGTTCTTTGTGACTAGTCAATTTTTTTTATGTTATATACGTTAGTGAGTCCATTATTAGAGTCATTTCGTTAAAAAATCAAATTACAGTAGATAACGATTGTAGTATCCTTTTATTTTATATATAACGACTGGAGTGATGTTCTATATTTTAGATAGCAATTGGAGTGTTATTACATCCAATGATTGCAGATAACACAAAAAGCACACTAAATACGCAAACAATACCAACTAAATATTATTTAATACTATATTTAACAATAAAAATACAACATCGGTAAAATTTCTAATAGCATCTTGCCTCTTTCTTTCAATGTAAATGTATACTAATCAAACTCTTGTTCAAATGTGATCAAAGAGAAGAAATAGTTGAACGTAATTTTGAGAACTTATAATTGAAAAAGATGAATGAGGGAAGATGTCATTTTCAAAAGAAAAAAGAAATTAGGGTTTTAAGATGAATTTGAAAGAAAAATGCTGAGACGAAATGAAAAAATTTGAAAGACATTAAACCCCCATTTGAGCCTCATTATTTCTCATTAAATTAAATTAAAATTTTCTCTCTCCTACTTTTAACCACATAATATTCAATAAAATAATATTACACGTAAATCAAAAAAATTTCAACCACTCATTAAAAAAAAAAACATCTTTCATCTCATTATAATGCCAAATAATGGGGCCCAAACACACCCTAAATTAACAACTAAAGGAAAATTGTCATTTTGCCAACTAAAATATTTTGCATTTTTTATTTGTTTTTATTATTGGTCAAATACATTATTTAGTTAGGCCAAATGGCCAAATTCCCCATAATTAAAATTACCCCATTCGATATAATATCAGCAAGAAATACAAAACCGAATAAATATACGTAATTCAGCGAATGTCACGTGTTCTCTCTATTGAATATATCATATTTCTCCTACATCTAATTAAAAACCCAGTTTTTGCCGTGCAAAACTTCAAAACACGGGTACATAATACTTCAGGGATGCATGGAACTCAACAGCTTAAGAGCCAGCGCCTCTTGCTCTGCTAGAGTATCGGTGTCAGCATTGACACCACTCGTATCCTTGTTTTTCTTCTTCTCACCATCATCACTGTCACTGTCGAAATAGATTTTGCCTTTTTTATGGGCCTTGTGAGTGAGTGCTTCTCTATCTGAACCAGAGAGATCATCCTCGCTCCCCACAGCATCCTCATCGTCGTACTTACCTCTCTTCCGCTTCATTTTTTCCTTTAATCGCTTTTCTTTCCGGCGTTGACGGTCCAGGGCCTTATCTTCCTTGTCCACCCTCTTCATCTCTTCCCTCAACTCTGCATATCTTTGATTTACTGCAAAATGGGAGGAAAAAACAGAAGTAATCACCAAGCCAAATTCAGAACAGCTTTAATTTTTGCTAAGATGCAATGTCGAATTCCCACGGTCATAAAAAAAAAGATGCTACAACATGCTGAGACTATGATTCTCCGACACTTTCTGTATTTTATAGCTCATTTGGAAAAGTGGATTGTACAAATTGGACATTATTAGAAAATAAGATAGATGCCTATAAAATACTATCTATAATAGCGTCCAATCCTACCCAGTATAGTATAAACACTCTTATCATACTGAATCAATAAATGGATGATGTTAAGTCAGATCTTTCTTCCCAAGAAAAAAGCTTTAACTGAACGTATAGCAGAGCCTTCTAAATTAAATCCAGTGTGGTTTACAGTTGGACAATGAAATAACCAGAAAACACTAAACAATTTACCCTATCAATTGCATATCATGATATACCCAATGATAAAATATACCTTTTTCCTTGTCTAGCCAAAGGGAATCAATGCTGCTCTTTGTGTCTGATAATTTGGCAAGCGGGGGTAAAGTGTTGCCTTCCTCATCAAATACAACCCTAGTACCCACAGGCCTATGGACATTGATCTTTAACTTCTTCTTCTTTAAAACCCTCGTTGCAGGCCTGCAGAAACAGATGCAAAAGAAGCCAAATCAAAATTAGGGAACTGGAAACCATACGATGACAATGCAAGCAAGGGGCAAAGCTAACCACCTCTATAATGTGGAAATGATTGCAAATTGATGAAAAGACACTACATTACTAATTGAGACATTTCCAAATAAATCCATGGAGAACAGATAATGAATGAATGTGTAGGAAGAGACAGAGTGAATCAGTACCAAAAGACTATTGCCTACTATCTAGCAAACATATAAGCAACAAACCACTAGTAATTTTTCAGTAATTTCTCTTTCATCAATTATTTCATTTAATCATCTCTCTCAAAATTGAGAATGTTATAAGGGGCTATTCCTTAGCTCCTCCCCCCGAGGGGGACAGGAGGGGGGAGCTTTGCCACAAGCGACGAAGGGGGGGCTAGGGAAGGCCGACGACTACATGAGGGGGAAGCTATCGCAGAAGCTTTAGCCCTTGCTTTACATAAATTGTTATGAACTGACGTCATTCTCCTGGGAACCTATTGAAAATGGTTCCAATTAAGAAAAATAAAAATAGCACATTAACTTACAAAGTATCTCCACCGTCAGTTGCTTTTCTATCCTCATCAAGCAGATTATCCTTCTCTATTCTATCCTCATCAAGCAGGTTATCCTTCTCTAGAAGAAAATCCTTATCTACTTCCACTTCCTCAAGTCTTCCAGTCCCTGGACTTTTACTTGGAAGTTCAAAAGTGTTCTTATCAGCAGTACTTTCCAGCACAAGAGACGGCTCTTTGAACAAGTTTTCTCCCTTAACTTTTTGCTTAAGAAATCGAATCTTGGGGGTCATAGGAAGGCCAAATGATGCAGCGAATTCATCTATTGAAAGTTTTGTCACATCAAAAACCTCCTTATCCTTGTTTTTATGTATAGACTTCAAATAATTTTTAAAGGCTTTCTGAGCCAGACTCTGCAAATCTGAATACTTGACTAATAACGCTGACAACAGTCCAGAAACAGTTTGCAATCTTTTTACATTTGCCTACATCAAAGAACAAACACAGAATCAACTTAAAATGAGACTACATCAAAGACAAGATGCAACATGACGAAAGAAATCGCAAGATTATGAGCTGATCCATGTCTTGATCTGCTCTTTTTTATCTCAGCCATCTTCCTCAGCAAATAATACAAAGAGTGTGTTTGGTTGTGCTTCATTGTAAGTCAAACCCACTTTCAAGCTAATTATTTTGCCAAACATGGAAAAGTAAGTTTTATGCACAGCCAATCATGCTCAAAATAAGCTCATTAAAGACCACGAAAGATTAATTTTGAGAAAGATGAATGCACCTTAGTGGACCGTATTGGTATCTTTTTTTCTTGCAATTTGTCGACCATCTTTGTTTCTGAAGGCATGAGGAATAGAACAGCTCTCCCACCAGATAGGTAGCGAGCAGTACGCCCTACTCTATGTATGTATGTATCAACATCTTCTGGGCAATCTACCTAGAAGTGTGAAGTAAATTAAATCACAAAACTGAATTCTTGACATGCATTTTACAAGTGTAACTTCTTTACAATCTTTATCACTCCAATATTAAACATTTTCTTTTTAACAAGCTAGCAACAAACCTGGACAACCCAATCAACATTCTTATTGAAATCAAGCCCTCTTGAAGCAACATCAGTGGCGAACAAAACAGAAGTCTTTTCACAAAATTGAGAGTATATCGCTGCCCGTTTCTCTTGACTCATCCTTCCATAAATACATTTCAATGGGATTCCTGGCCGCAGTTTCTTAAATACTTCAAAGAAGAATCTTACCTGTTTGTATCATAAAGCTTTTAAGATAGGCAATTATAAAGAGGCTTCAGCAGGTCATAAACTTAAAGCTATAAGAAACAAATATATGGAAAAAGAAAGAAGGTAAAGTTAAAAAATAAAATACGCACAAGACCCAAAAGTACATCAAGAAGAAAATTGGTTTGATCAAGAAAAAGGTATATGTTGCCTGGTGGTGGTATTAAATGATTTCTATCAAACTGGCATTTTCACTTTTACGCATGCCATCAAGGAGCTTCGATCAATTTCTTTCATAATAGTGCCATCCTTACCCAGCGCCCCTACCCCCAGACGTAATAAGGCAAGGGGAAAGAGAAGGCTTTCAATTAACCAAAAAATTACATATACACACAGCTTTATCTCACTTGTGTAATTTCAACAGCTTAGAAACTGTCTAACTATGAACCGAATAAATTCAATCATCCTCCCTTTCCAGAGACAATAATAAGTAAATTTTGACACGCTGCCTGGTTCGGTTCACATAAAAGTTAATATAACAAGACTCAATATGAGATTCAAGTTTGACTTAATAGAAAACCAAAAGTGATTGTATAAAAATAGGATAACTTTATGAGACATTGCCAGCTCAATCTTGGCTTTCAATGAAAGATGACAGGAGGTTACCTGCTTAACACTTGAAAGAAATACCAATATCCTTGAGTTGAGATGTGTCTTCACAAAACTCCACAACATGTCTATTTTTTGGTCAAGAGGAACAACAATTGCAGTTTGTTGTAAGAGATTTGGAGTAGCCGTAGAAGATTTCTCGTGCACACTTATGTATTCTGGATCTTTCAGACTGAGTCTTGCAAGATCTTGTACTGACTTTGTTTGAGTTGCTGAGAACAGTAACGTTTGTCGCTGCTTTGGTAACTGAGATATTATTGCATTTACTTCTTTCTTAAATCCCACGTCAAGAATACGATCTGCCTCGTCAAGAACTAAAACCTGTTAACTGGCCGGAAATTTACACCAGAGTAAGATAATCATTGACTCTGAGCAAAAAGTTTCAGATAGAAAAAATGAGAACTATGTTGATTATCGCAAATAATACTATGTAAAGGACCTGCCATAAAAGGTCTATTCCCTTGATGGAAAGAAGGACTTTGCTGATACCAAAAACAGAAAGGAAATACTTCCCTCCACATTCAAAAAGGAAAAGATCTACCCTATCTCCATATTCTCCACAATTTATATCATTTATCACAAAAACACAGAAGTACACCACAGTAAACAACACTGTGCCAAAGAAATAGTTACAACAAAAGAAAGCCAAAGAAGAATAACAAAAGAAGACCTGAAGCTGTGAACAATCAAAATTTGGTGTCTCATCCATGTGCTGGAGAAGCCGGCCTGGAGTGCAGACCAATATGTTCAACTCATTGACGCGCTCTTTCTCTGAGTCAACGTCTTTGCGGCCACCAATTAGAAGGCCAGCACTAAAACCATGATGCCTCCCAACAGATTTTAATACTTCAAAAAGCTGACCAGCTAGTTCCCTTGTGGGAGACATGATGATGCATCCAACCCCATCCTCTGGACCCCATCGAGCCTTGTATAACTTCTCTAGAACCTGAAGACGAGAGAAGACATGGCATAAAGTGATTCATACTTCTCAATGTCAATTAATACAATTAATGTGGTAACTATGAGTGCAAGGAATATATATGAAATCAACTCAAATTTTCGCCAGAAAAATTGCATCATTATCATGTCTTGGACCATTTTCATAAGATCAGACACTATCCATGAAAAGCATTAGCCCAGAGGAGCCGCATAAGAAATAAAATATTCTATATCATATGCCAGTCTGTATCTATGTGTAGTGTGCACATAACTGAAGAAAAACAATTCAAAAATTGGTTGCTCATATCCCTGAATTCTTATATCATACGTGATAAATACAGGCCTCCTCGTGTCAAATAACAGCAATACTAACTTGTGCAGTTTCCTGTCACTGAAGAAGGCATTTTGTATAACAAAATTTAATGACCTAAATTTACTCAAAGCTTCTATTTTTTTCTTCTAGAATTTCAAATCTCAAAACCTCATTGGCGCTAGAAGGAGATCAACAAAGTTTCTTAATATAGTTGCTGCTCCGAAATACCATGCACACAGGACTGCTTGTGTTTTTGTAAAGATTCACTTAAAAAACAAAGAAGTTCGATGCAGTCTTAATTTTTATCATTTTCTGCAGTACACGTGCATCCAAAGAAAACCTAGCTTACACTAAAATACTAATCCTCAGAATAGCAAAACTGAACTGCAATCAGAAAACATAAAATTTATATTGCAATTTTCAAACCTACGCTCTTATAACCAGTAGAAATTTATCAAAAATAAACTTAAAGAACAATATTAGGTTCATAACCAAATAAAAAAAATAAAAAATCAATATAACCACAGCAAACAAGCAAAACAATCAATATCAAAATACATTCCACAACCAAATTATTTCCGACAATTCCTGACCAGGCACACACCGGAATAATAAAAGCCAGGGTCTTTCCAGACCCAGTTTTCGCAGCGCCAAGGATATCGCGGGCGCAGAGCGAGTGCGGTAGCGATGCCCTCTGAATATCAGTCATTCTTGAGTACTTGGATTCGGCCAACCCATCTTTAGTTCTCTTGGACAATGGTAACTGGCTGAATTTTTCAACTCCGGCGTATCGGGAAAACGAGCCGCCCGGGAGTTTTCCAATTCGAGACTTTTCGGGCAATGGAGATAAGGAAAGCGGGTTGGACCCCGAATGCGGTTTGCTCAACTCGATCCATGACTCGAGGAGCTCGATTTCTTGGAGTTCCGAATGGCGCTTTTGGAGCTTGAATTTCTTAGATTTAGTGGGTCTTCTCATTTTCTCCTAGAGATGGAATAGGGTTTTCTGAGTCTTGATTGTATAGAATAAGACTTCGAGAGAGGGAAATGTGAGGAGGATGCAGGGTTTAGGGTTTTTAATGGAACTGGCGAACAAGAACAGGGGGGTTACACGGGGGACGAAGAAATTGCTTTCGGTTCCTTCTGCTAGTTTGTGCCCTAATATGGAATTTAGCCCATGTTTGGCTTATTTAAAAAAAAAAAAATATTTCTTATAATTAATTTTTAATTAGGTATTTTATTACAAATTTTTCCAAAGAAAAAAAAAATAAAGAAAGAAAGAAAGAAGAAAAAAACAAAATCTTCCATAAACTTCACTTTTAGCCAAACCAAACAGGGCTCAAGTGGATGTCAAAGCAGGTCAACAAGGTTGGATGGGAAAATAATTGTAAAACTAGCTTAGTTTGATTTGTGTTTCAATTTTTAATTTTTTAATTTTGAGTTTTGAGTTTATTTTCAATTTTGAGGACTTGTTTTAAAATTGTTAAAAATGTATTCGGTTTCTCAAATTGAAATTTTATTTTTCAAAACAGAAAATTAAAGAAATAATATTACTAGTGAGTTTTACAATTTTTCCTCTTTAAAAAAGTAATTTAACTTTTAAAACCGAAGAAAAAAGCACTTATTTTAAAAATAAGCGACTTTGCATTGCAGCAAACGGTTGTGGTAGCGATACCACTTCGTGAGTGAGAACTAATTCCCCCTTTTTCTTTACATTTCAATTCTTCTTTTTTTTTTTTAAGTTTATTTAGATTCATAATTTTTGGTTAATTTGGACACATGCTTCTTTTTTCAATTTGGTAGTTACTTCAGCCCCTATTTAATAAGGATTAAAATCAATTTTTTAATAAATTTTGATAAAATTTGATGAAATGTGTGGTTAAAAGGTTGTGTAACCCATGAAATATGTGGTTAAAATCAATTGTTGACTTGATTTAGATTAAAATTGGATTTTAATTGATACCAAACAAGGCATGAATAAGAATTTGTTCCATTCTTCTCTTTACGTATTCTTACTTCCTCTCTCTTTTTTTAGTTTATTTTTATTTGTAATTTTTGGTAAATTTTTGCCGTGCACTTCCTATTTAATGCATGTTTGGTATTGATTTTTCACTCTAAAAATTCAATTTTTTTATTGTTGTTTCACTATTCAAGTCGTCATTTTTGACTTATTCTCTCACAGGTATGATCACTTTTTTTTCTCTCCAACGATCAAAAAATTAATTCTTAAAATCACTACCGAACAAACCCTTAATTGCTTTTCTTTTTTTCCCCTTTGACTTTAATTGCTGGGACTAAGATAGAGTTAAATTTTTCAATAACCATCCAACTTATATCATGTCCACAATTTATTCATTAAATTTTAAAGTGCTCACAACGATCACTAAACTTTGTATATCTCCACTCAATCCATCATTCGTCACATTTTGTTCCTCTCATTACTGATGTGTTGAACAAGTCTCATGTTAGCAGATTACGATCATCAAAAAAATTACAAGTCGGTCAAACCATCTAATTAAAATATTTCATGACTTGCCCTATTTAAACTTTTGGATTAATTTACTTATCAAACTTTCAAATGTTTTTCAATTATCACTCATCTTTGAGAGTTACGCTATGTCCATCATTAGTCAGATTTTGTTCCCTTTGTTACTAGCATTCCATACAAAAATTCCACGCAAGTTATGACCATTAAAAAAATTGCAATCCAGTCAAATAATCATATTTACCAAAATTGTCATATTTGAATGCGCCCCCATAAACTTCTTTAAAGCCCAATAGTTCGCCACAAATTTCAGCCCAAAAAAAATCCTAACCCCAACCCCCAATTCACTCATTTCACACACGTATAGCTAAATTGTATACTGATACAGCTTGATTGTTGAGATTGATGTAAGAAGTCACTATTTATAAAGTCATATCCTCTAATTGTACCATCTGATAACATTTATTTCCTCAAATGGTCGAGCGCACACCTGTAAAAATTGAAGATTGGGATTAGAGAAACCCTCGACAGATGGTGTAATTGAGGAATAAGGTTTTATAAGTAAGAACATCTCGCATTCTTCCAAACAATCAACTCTATCTTAATACATAACTGTATTGTATGCGGGCGACCTGAAATTGGAGAGAATAATTAAACTAAGCCCTCATTTGGTAACAATTTTTCACCTCAAAAAATCAAATTTTTTACTATTATTTCACCATTTCTAATAGTCATTTTTGACTTCTTTACCCATAGATGGAACCCACTTTTCTCTCTAACGATAAAAAAATCAATTCTTATAATCATTACCGAACAAACTCTCAAAGAAGTTTATGAGGTCTTGAAAGTCATAATTTCAAATATGGTGATTTTGAGAAGTTGGGTTTGACCGAGTTGTAATTTTTTCAATGACTATAACTTGTTGCATGAGATTTTGCAGCAGTTTAGCAATGAAGGGAACGGAATTTGACGGATAATTGATGGAGTAAAAAATGCGTGATCATTGTGAAGCATTTTGAAATTTGATGAGTAAATTGTTATCATAGTATAAGTTGGGCGAATAATGAAAATTTTGTATTTGGATGGTTTGGTTGAGTTTTAATTTTTTTAATGATTGTAACTTACCACGTGAGACTTTCCATTTGACACATCACAATGAGGGGAGTGAAATTATGACAAATGATGGATGGAGCAAATGGACAAAGTTCAATAATCATTGTGAAACACTGTGAAAAATGTAAACCATGATCAAGTGATTAAAAAACTTGTTCATGAAAATATCTTTCGATTTAAAATACTGTAAGTGTATAATTTGTTAACGAGTAATAAAGTGGATTTAAGTCCAAACATTGTCCCACAAAAATTGATTTGGTTCAAATTTAATTATCGAAACAACAATAAAGTGCCTGAAAGTGATCATGACTAAAATATAACCAAAATAATCTACTTATGCAATTATGAGTTAATTAACTAAATTAAATACAAAATTTTCCAAATGCAAGTTAATGTGTATTAATGAATGACAAGTATACTAAGATCGCGAGTTATCATGTAATAATCATTTTTAACCTTAGTTCTACACATTGACTACACGATTGAATTTTGAAGAATCAATGTTTCTATTTTATTCAACAATCTTTCTCAAGTAATGTTAAACATATTTTTATATATGATCGACTATATTTTTATAATGGATGCGAACGTACAAGAGTACATGAATTTTTATGAACTCTTAAAGATTCACATGGAACGTAGTGGTATATTTCTATTTCCTATTAGACTCTATGACATTTTACAAAATATCGAGTCTATTTTCATTATTTCAAATGTATAAAATAAATTACCAAATACATACAACTACCATGTACAATAGTTGTAGAGAAAAGATGATCATGTAAATTATTCAAATTTCAAAAACATATTTTCCATGTCAAATATGTTAAACTTAAGTGCTTGTTTGGGCCCTCCCTCCCCCACTTTTTTTTTTTTTTTAAAAAAAAAATGCATTTTGCAATAGTGTTCGGGGATGGACAAAAATCGAACCAACCCACGTAAACTGACCATTCCAAATCGAACCGACCAATTTGGGTTGATTTTTTTTAAAAAAATCTATTGGGTTGGGTTTTTAAAAGAAATTAGGTTGCTGATCCATCAAAATCGATAAAACTCATCCAACCCAACCCATTATTTAAAAATCTAAAAAAAATGAAAAATGAAAAACAAACGTAAAAATTTAAAAGTTGAAATCTTACGACCCTAGTTTACAAAGTGTTATCATTTATTTCATATTTCATCTCTCTCTAATCCTAAAGCTAAATACCACCCTCTCTCATTCTCTTTCGTTCAAGCACTACGACTATCCCAACTCTATTTGCATCTAGGCTTGACGCTAATCGCCGACCTTTATTCATTTTGGTACTCTTAATTTTTAATTTTAAGGTGATTATTCATTTATGTTTTGCAAATGTATGTTTTATACTTATTTTTTGTTTAAGCAAGATAATAATTTGTATAATATATGCATTTTTCCTTCATGCGTGATCACACGTTTTTGTTCATGGTCGAAGCGTCGTGTCGATAGGTTTTTATTATCAAGCATATTTTTACATTTTTAATGTCTAAACCGACTAACCCAACCCAACCGAAACTTGATTGGTTTGGGTTGAAACACATGAACGGGTTGGATTTGTTTGATTTTAGATTAAACCGACTATGTTGGATTGGGTAAAAAATCGAATGTGCGGTTAAAAAATAAGAAAATATTTTGAATTTACGTGTAATATTATTTTATTGAAAAATGTGTGATTGAAGTATGATCAAATCACTGTTAAAAAATGTATTTTGATGAAAAGATGAGACTCAAACAAAGATTTTAAAAATTATATTACAAGGTTTAGCGTTCTCCTAACACAAAGAAATCAAGTCTAATATGTTGTGAAGAATGAAGCAAAAGATATAAAAGTTATTCATCACTCAGAGATTCTTAAACTCAAATTTGATGTTCCCGAATCTCGATGTGTTATTTGCCTCCTTTTACAATTAATTATCCGTCCTAATTATATTGTGAGAGTTGATATTTATGATCCCTCTAAAAATTTTCAAAGGTTCTCTAAAAATCGTGCATATCATCACCAAAATGAAAGTTTCCTTGTTGGAATTGAATTATAAAGGAAACAGAATTTTTCGATGGAATTAGCCTGGATGTGCCTATAGTAGTAAGCGTCACGACTACCCAAGCAGATTAAATAGTCCCTGTAATTGATGTTAAGCCTATATAATCGGGTGGCTGCCCTTTTATAAAAAACTTTCAGAATTTTTTCTTGGCCATTTTCTTCATTCTTTCTTTCATTAATGTACTTATCAATTATTGAAACATTTAACTCGATTATATTTGTATCCTGGTGTAACCATCTTTTTAGAACCAATAGAATAATTTAGAATTAACCAAACAAAAGTACCTTGGCAGAAGACAAATTCCCTGCAAGTGAAGTGGGTATCAAGCAGATCTTTTTCCCTTTGTTTAGAAATTTCGTCTTGTTCCTTTGGACCATAAACATTTCCTCGAGAAGTAAAAGAGTCCTTTCCCTCTTCACTAAAATCCCAAGTTTTGTCAACAATTCAATATCACATCATATATGTGTACATACAATTACACACAGGGAGAAATGGGTTGCAGAAACGGCGGCCTGAGGGTGGAAGAGAACCACGCGATGGCGGCTTCACTGACAGTGAGCGATGCTTTGCTATTCGCAACCATGTGCATCGTTGAGCTCCCAGTGGATGTTCATGCAAAGGATGGCTCTATTTATACTGGAATTTTTCACACCGCCTGTGTCGACAAGGATTATGGTACTCTTGAAATTTTCAAAAATACTTCTGGGTTTTTTTATTACTTCTCATCCTTTATTGGTCTTGGTTATATTGGGAATTGATGGTTCTTTTGCTTGTTTTGTTGTGGTCTAGTTCAGTTTTGCCATCTGATCTTTGATTTTTTTTTTTAATCACTCAGTTAACTCATTTATCGTCTTCAGCTGATTAAATTAAAAGTCAAGATTTTGAGTTTGGATTCCGTTAATTTATCATATTCTACTGTAGAACAAAGCTTAAGGCAATTCCTTATTTGTGCACATTAAATTAAGTACCTTTAGAATTTATAGTACTGCTCACTTACCAGGCACATTGATGATGATTAGAGTAATTGTCTTGATGCATTTTTAATTGATTTATATATGTTTGATCCAGCTATTGTGCTGAAGAACGCAAGGATGATTAAAAAGGGAAACCGAGCTGCAAATGTTGCAAATGATAGTATGATAGAAACGCTTGTAGTTCGGTCAGAAGATCTTGTCCAAGTTGTTGCTAAGGCATGTCAATGTGCTTTTGTCAATTTAATTTTCAATTCCTGATGGAGTAAAATCTGTTATTTCTGTAATAAATTCTGGCCTGTGTTTAGGGAGTTCCTATTCCTTCAAATGGAGTTTCTGAATGTGTAAGGAGAGATGGTTTAGAGGCTATGGCAGGCATAAATGAGTGTTCGAAGAGGGAGGCAAAAGCTAACGAGTCCAATGGAGATAAAAAGCACAGAAGCGAGACAAGGTACCATATCCAATGCTATGTCTGGTATTTTATTACTTAGCTGATGTAGGCAATTACCACAAGATTCATTATCATTATGCCACATTGGCCTGGTATTGGTTGATAGTCTGTCATACACCGGCCTCAGTATGGCATCTTGGATGTGGCTCTATGCTTGTTGCTTGAGACATTAGATTGTTGAGAACACTGCAATTTATGGCAAAAGTTAATAGGAACATATTCTTGAATTCCAATTTACATGCAGGTTAGCCAGCTCAGAGAATGATTTTGCATCTGATGTGGAAAATCACTCGAGCAGATCCATAGAAGAAGAAAATGAGAGATCAGATGGCATTGATTTTGAAAAGGTGAAATTTAAAGTGAAGAATGTCTTATTTCCACACTGGAAGAGTAATTGTGATGAGGATATCGGACGATGTTTACTTATTTTATTTAAGCTTTATTTATTTTTTTGGACTATTATTTAAATTTGGACTTGTATGGGCTCGGGCCCAAGCTCGTTAGGGTTGCTTTACTATTTAAACCTATTTTGCATTCTAATTTTCAGTTGATGATGAATGAATAATTATTTTGGTGGCTTATTGTGCATCCCTCCCCTTCTTCTATTGAATTCTTCTTCTATCCCCTCCCTTAATTCCCAATTCTTTCTGAATCTTTTTTTTATTTCTATTTATCATCCTTTTGATGCTGCATCAAATTTGGTATCAGAGCCTAAACTTGGGTAATCTCTCATCTCCAATCCAAAAATCTATTTCTATTTCTTTCCTAAGAACTTGTGGAACAACACACACAAATAAACTTTTAGCATGAGCAGCGAAGTTATTATTTTTCCAGCTTCTTCATAGTTGTTCCAAAAAAAAAAAAAAAAGAACTGTTCACGTACTGTTCACAGGCGGAAATTTCAGTTTAGGTTTTTTCTGCAATTTTAGTTCACATCCCAGCCCCAAAAAAAAAAAAAAATTCGTGTTACTGTTCACGGGTACTATTCACACCTCGAAAATTCATTTTTTTTGTATTATCAGCTTAAAAAAAAAGTTATTGTTCACACAAAAAAAAAAAAATCTCATTTTTTTCCCTCCTGCTGCTGCTCATAAATAAAAAAATAAATAAAATAATTGTGGTGTTGTTCCACAAATCCCAAACCCTAGCATTCAAGCCTACTTAGCCCTTCAACCCATATATTCCATCTCTATAACCTACTCCATTCATTTTTTTATCAAAACACTTGGGCCATAAGCTAGTGGCCCAAATTACTCCCAAAGCCCACTAAACGCACAGCCCATCTCTCATCATCTATTTAGCCAATCCACTTATTTTTCAGCCCAATAAACACTAAATTCAACCCACTTATCACATATTATCACAATCGGCCCAACACCATTCAACCCATGATCAGTCCCAAATATCCAACCAAACCCGATTATAACCAATCCATTAAAATCAAATGCCCCACAGTTTCACCCGATTTCTCTCTCATAACCACATTCTTGCCGCTGCCTCCTCTAATCACCATCACGCCACCACTTCATTATCTATTGTACCCAGGCATCCAGAGCACTACCGCTTCATCGCCGTAGGCCACCACCACCTACCCAAGATCATACACTTCCACCACAATTACCACACTCTTATATTTTCTCGTCCATCTCAACAATCTAAAAGCCACAGTCACTACACACAGTTTTACGTCCACACCAGAACCAGCACAAGCTACAGTCTACAGGGGCTAAAACCATTGGATACGAAAGGAAGAATAGAAGCATAGTTGAGGCTTATAAGTCGACAATTCAGATCAAGCGGCATACAAATAATCAAAAATAAACAACAGGGAGTCCTTGATCTCTATTTAGTATTGATTTATACTACCACTTCATTTTTAAAATTGCATCAATTAAAATCTTGTGCTACTGTTATTGTGATAATTTTAGCTTTAAACCTCACTTGGTCAAAACCATTAATCGAATTGACACCAGTGACTGAATTGAGTTCCATTGTTCCCCACTTAAATTGATTGGAGAATTTGACTAGTGTTGACCCTTGCTTTGCCATTTTACATGTACTAGCAGTATTAGCTTGTTTTGGATTTAATTAATCCCAATATTTAAAATTAAATTAAAAAAATGGTACAAGTTATTTTTCATTGCTTGCACGTATTGTTTACTGATCTCATCATAACATGTCATTTAGCTGGTATTACATTGCATGTAGTTGCATAGTGGTCGTCTTGTCATCTCTATTTCCAATACATTGACCATGGATTCATCCCAATTTGATGCATTCAATAGACAATTAGCGCAATTTGCCACTAGCCTATCGACTGTCCAATCAGATATAACTGCTACTCGTGAGGAGAGAAATAACCTAGCTGCTAAGTTGAGCAATTTTAAGCGAATCCCTCGTTTAACTGACACTAATTCTGAAGCGTCTCATAATAGACAATATCATCGTGGACAAAGTGATCAAAAATATTTTCGACGCGATCGTAGGAATAGGGATCAGATTCGTAAGCGAGAACGAGATAATTTTGAAATTCTTACTCAATGGAATGCCCTTAAACAAGGAAATCAATTAGTGACTGAGTATATCACGCAATTTGAGGAATTTCGAGCCAAATGTCATTTAATTGAGGATGAAAGCATGACTTTGAGTAGGTTTAGCCAAGGTCTGAGAGATGATCTTAAGCGCGAGCTTTTCCTTCAAGGTGTCACTACTCTTGATCACGCTTATTCTTTAGCTCGAGATTATGAGTTGATTATTAGTACTCCATATGAAAAGCGTGGTTATCGTCGTTCACCCATCGTCGCATCATCATAAGTCTATCATAAAACCTTCTCCGTCTAATGTTTCTTCTATTTGGAAAAATAATTGTAAAGGTCGTGATAGTCCAAGATCTTCTTCTTCATGTAGAAAGCGTAATGGCAATCATCTTTCGGTTTCATTGGCTCCACTTCCTCCTGTTAAGTCCCTTCTAGGACCTCCCCCGTCTAATGTTCCTCCAATTTTGGAAAATAAGGGTATAATTTGTGAAACTCCAAAGACTTCTCACTTGCTATGAATCAGCTGTAAGGATTTTGGCCACATCTCTTCCAAATGTCCTAACCGAGCCTTAGTCATAGAAGAACGAAAGAATGCAATAGAAAAGTCGTTAGAAGATCTAGCATATGGCCCTAAACTTGAAGATTTTGATGATTATAGTGAGGACACTTCCTTAAGTGGAATCCCGACCCTTCCCGAGACTATAGAAACTATACCCCTTGTTTCCGACAACTCTCGATCACATGTTAAACGTCATACCCTTACCCAACTCAAAGAGTTTGATGATTTCACTAGTCACCTTTGGAAAATCCAGTCGCTTGTTGTTAGCACTAAATCGAAATTCTCCACTACTGACCAACCTCAAACTGATGGTCAAATCGAAATTGCTAACTGAAGTCTTTGACAATTTATTACAGTCTCTAGTACAGAAAAATCTTGAGACTTGGGACTCGATCCCCCCAACTGTTCACATCGCATATAACAATTCTATGAATCGGTCTTTAGGTCTAAATTCATTTGAAGTTGTTCATAGTTTTAAGTCTAGGCGACTATTAGAACTTATTCCCATGTCCCCGCATGCTGGTGTGTTGTTGTCAGCTGAAGCATTTTTATATTATCTTCATGACTTGCATATTGAAATCAATAAATAACATGACGCAAGTAATGCATTATATAAACTTCAAGCTGATTCACATAAACAATATTTTGAATTTAATATTGGAGATTATGTCATATTGCAAGCTTGTAATGCTAGCCCTTTAAAAATTTTAAAGCATGTTGGTTCAAATGCACATGTCATTGCCCTTTCATCACATTTTAGCCACTACTCTACTTTAAATATTGAGGACTTCATTACTTATAAATACTGTATTACTTCCTTTGATGATCCATTTCTACCTAACTTTGTGGACCCCCAATTTGACTATATTGATATTTCTACTTTAATACCATCTATCACAGCATACAAAAATAAAATTGATGTTATTTTAGATGAACGTGTTGTATTGACCAATGATGGCAAAATTCAGTACTTGTTTGTTTGGTAAATCGACGTACTTCTTATGCTCCTCATTATGTACAATCATGTGAAAATGTTGAAGATGAGGTGCATGAGTATTGGTTATTTGAAGTCCAGTATCAGTACTTGGTTAGAAGGAAAGATCGGCCCCCTTGGTCAGATCATATTTTTGGGAATAAGCTATAGTTTTCAGTACTATCAATTATGAAATTTCGTTACTTGGTTCGTCAGAAAGATCGTCTCCCGTGGCTTGACTTGAAGCATTTGGAGTATCAGATTGACGGCAGCCTATACTATCTATCAACTCGACAGGGTCGAGTTTTCTCCCACCTCGAAAGAGTTGATGAGGACATCGGACGACGTTTACTTATTTTATTTAAGTTTTATTTATTTTCTTGGACTATTATTTAAATTTGGACTTGTATGGGCTCGGGCCCAAGTTCGTTAGGGTTGCTTTACTATTTAAACCTATTTTGCATTCTAATTTTCAGTTGATGATGAATGAATAATTATTTTGGTGGCTTATGGCACATCCCTCCCCTTTTTCTATTGAATTCTTCTTCCATCCCCTCCCTTAATTCCCAATTCTTTCTGAATCTTTCTTTTATTTCTATTTATCATCCTTTTGGTGCTGCATCAAATTGCTATATATTTAAGAATGGGATGTCTATTTGTGCCTCTATACGTATTCATACTGCATTTTGTACTTTTTTCCAATGATAAACTAGAACCTTAATTGGAAAGGCTTATTAAGGGTTATTCACCTTTTTCTGTTAATGCAGATGGAAGAGGTAAATATTGTTTCGGCTGATGGAAGGTAGAGATTATAAAAATTGATTTCTACTCCTTTTTATTCTCTTTCATTTTTAAATTCTTATTGTGATTTTCGTACATTTAACTTGAGTTCTTTTGCCTGTTGAGATATCCTGGCATTGATCTTGTGTAGTTTCTTACTATCTCAGCAGTAAACTGCATATTCTATCCTTAGTTTCAAAGTTTTCATGATGAATACCTTGTGTTGGGACATTGCCAAACACATCCATTAGTGATCATATTTTTGTCTATTTTTTGATGGCCATCATAGTGGTCACTCTTTATGTTTATCCAATGTTGGTGCACTTGCCTATTTGATCATGAGATTGTTCTTTTATTTTTGCAGAATCCTATACATTGTTTTTCTTCTTTGTTCTCAAGATTGTTCAAGTTTTCAGAGTCCTAGATTTCTTTTTCTCTTTGTCCTTATATGTTATTGTACTTTCGACAAAGCCTCTGTTTGGCCAATTCGTAAATCATTTATAGATGGTTAAGCTTCATTTTCAATCATACATTCCAATGGACTCATAAGTACTATCCATTTATACACCACTCAATCTATTTATAAATTGCACCAGTTATAAATTCTTCCCAAATGGAGGCATAGTCTTTCCTTTTTTTCGAGATCGATTTTTTTTCTAAGCAAGTTTTCTGCCTTGTCCACAAATTCCTTCTGTTTATCATTGACAGACTGTTTGGGGATGTCTTGGGGGAAAAAAGATCAATCACAGAGAGAACACTGAGTTTCAAGATGAAAAAACTGAGTTAATATAAGAATAGGCCCACTAAATTTAGTGATAGTTTTAACTTTCCTAATTTTCGTCAATTAGCATAATTCATATCTATTTATTTTGCAGACCTGTGAAGTTCAACGCTCAAGTTTAAGCTGTGAGTTTCTTCGTACTTCTTATTAGGTGCAACAGTTTGCTAAAAATAATGTATTTTAGGTGCCTGATAGGATATGGGTTTTGTAGGGGCAGACATGGATCTCTCTTGGAACTTAAAATGATATTCGGTAGGAGAGTCTAAGAAATCTAATTGCCTTTTTATTTCTGCCTGCCAATATCTTCAGAAAAATGTTCGTGGAGGGCAAGAAAGACTTTCTTGGTCTGTTCAGGGTGCTTTGAATATTACCCAAAATATGGATTTAGGAATTTTAAAATATTTATGAATTATGAATAGAGGAAAACTGTTGGTTGGGAAACATGACCAGAGTTAAAGCATAGCGTAATCACCTTGTTGACTTTAAATCTGAAATTGCAGAATATTATGAACTCGATGAGGGGTTAGGTTACTTCCAAAAAATCCTACTACTAACCACAACCAAGGTTGGAATTGCAATTGTATCGCCGATACTCTATAATTACTTGGACAGTAATGAATGAAAGCTTTGCATGATTTTATAGGGGAAAGAAAAAGTATTAGTATTATTATTATTATTGATAAGAAACATGCTTTTATTTCACTGTCTAATTAAAACAGTTTCTTGGCCCAGACAGAGACCGCCACATTATAGTAACAGCCATCTATCAGAGATTAACCAGGATTCATTAAGCTAAATTGCAGCATGAGTAAATACTCAGAGCTTGGTAGTGTTAGGGGATACTTAGAATGAAGCATTCTGCTTGCTGGTATCTGAATGTAGGATGTTGTTAGTTGCTGTTTGAATGCAGTAGCTTCGTTACTTTAAAGAGAGTCCAGCGATGATAAACTTCGCTTTGAGTCTTGCTATGAATTTTATCCTTGCTCCTACCTATATATTCCTTTTACTGGGCTGAGATGATTGATTTTCTACTTTATGGGTCCTTCCATACTTCTTTTATTCTTGCTTCACATAGTTCTCTGTCTGTGTGTATAGTGGGTGCTTGTCTACCTCAATCAACTGTTGCTGAGAATATATTGGGGGAGACGGATGTTCAAAAACACTGAAAAGATTATCTTCTGGTAGTCATGCTGCCTCCATGGTCAAACTGGATATACAGAATCCGAAGGGGCCCACTTCAGAAGAGACTAAAAGTCCAGATGCTCTTTCATCTTGTGTTCCTGTAGCTGCCACACCAACCGTGGTTGTTTCTTCAGAGTCAAACCCAAGTTCATCCTCTGCTTCTACTCCGTCAGTGCCTCCAAAAGGTTCCAATTTAAATAGAACTGCTAAGGTAAAATGGATTTTCGGGATGGTTTAAGTTTTAGCCTACCATATGAGTTCCAGTTTATAAATTATTTTAAAATCGCTAAACCCTAAATCGCCTTTGCAAAGATCGTAGTTTTTGTAATATTGGATACTTAAGTTCTGTTGCTCTTTTTGCCAAAATTACTATCCTTTATCAAACGTTTATTAAAAAAATTTCAGGAATATTTGTCATTATTCGGTTGTTGAATTTGAGAATGTAGAAATAAAAACTTGAGTTATTAAACAGAAAAATGTTCATCGGTTAATATAAATTAAACCCCTATTTGTTTCCCATTTGTTAGTAAGAATACATTTTGAAATAGTTAATTGATAAAAAATGTGTAGTTAAGAATTAAGCAAAAGTTTTAGTTTTGCGTGTAATATTATTTTATTGAAGAATGTATTATTGAAAAGAAGAGAGAGAAATATATTTTGAGAAAAATGGGTATCGAACAAGGGCTAACTGTTATAAGTTCAGCACTCTATTTACTTCACAATGTTTGCCATGTATTCCTTTCTCTTTTAGGAATTCAAGCTCAATCCTCAAGCAAAAATATTTTCTCCCTCACCGTTGCACCATTCATCAGTGACTCTTCCTGCAGTGCAAACAGAAGCAAGTGTTACTTACGTGCCAGAAGTCTACGCCATGGTACCAGTTGCTACTGCAGAAGACGAACATGACATCAGTTTGTTTGCCTATGACGTTTGTCCCATGCAATGATGTCATCATTGGAAATGGTAGCAGTGATGCACCATATGCCCAACCTGTAAGCATTGCTGTTTTATAATAACTATAGATTGTAGTTTTTCCTATTTCAAGTTTACTTCTATTTTTCATGAAAACATTAATTATTAAGAGGGTGTTTGATGGGGATTAAAATTAGATTTTTTGGTAGATTGTGATAGAAGTTTTTGAAATGTGTGGTTGAAAAGTTGTGGAACCCATGAAAGATGTGATTAATATTGATTGTTTGACTTTGACTTAAATTAAAATCAGATTTTAATCTATACCAAACGGGCTCTAAATTGATGTGATCTCCATTTGCAAAACCCTGATGTATCAGTTTGATTCTTTTCCCATCTCTTTCTTCCTGGCCTATTCATTGGTCAGTGACACATTTGTTTTAGGTTGTTCATTACCTTTATCTGTCTGTTTTGGGAAGGTTGCTGAAAGATGCTGTGTTCCAAAATATTTGACGCTGCTAATAAATTGTTTCTTTTTCCATGTGTAAGTTGTTGGCCAAGTCATAGGCAGCACACAACTAATTAGATATGCCAGTCAGTATCATAGCCTTCAAGCTGGGACTGCTTATGTTTATCCAAATTCTCAAAATGCATATAGTATAGTTGTTTACACTCTTATTTACTGCAGTGTCATTGTATTAAGATACGATATTTTGAATGTGGTGGCTGATCTTTTACCCATCGGTGCTGTCAGATTATTGCAGGACGAGTGGGGTCTCTTGTATGGTTATATCCCATTTCGGTAAGAAATAATCCTTGACCTGCTAGGAATACAGTGAATATCCGTTAGTTTTTCTTTCAAATGGATTTTATCAGAGTATTCAGACATTTGAAGATAATCAAGCATTTCAATATTATTGTGCCTTTGCTGTCATGTTTGGTATGGAGGATTCTATAATACCGGACAATATGTAAGGAAGGAAAGAGAAGCTAAATTTTATATTCTCCAATTCTACGAACCAAACATGCAGTTACATGTATGAACATTGTCATGTGCACATCAGGGAAGAAACTGCAAAATAATCTCTCTCTTATACACTTGCGACCAAAAAGCTTGCTTGATGAAATTTTTCATATTTGTCCGTCTCTGCTTGCATTTCTTTTTCTCATCTTCCACTTTTGGTTTTGGTGCTACCATTCAATGTTAATTATTTATTACCTTCTTTGCTTATTTTAGGACACCATTCAGAGTGCAGCAGGGTATTCTCAAGCAGGCTCAGAACCACTCGACTCCACATCACATGTATCTTACTAAGCACCAAGGTATGAGCTATTCGAATTCATTGTTAAACATTAAAGTGCATTTCTGGACGGGTTTTATTATATTTGTGTTATAAAAGTTGAGAGCCTGAAAATAATTTATCAGTTTTCCAGATTGTTTCCTCAATATTTGAAGATAAGCATGCCTTTTATCATTCAGCTCTTAGAAATATAGTTTTTACTTCAGGTCATGATTGTAGAAGAATTACCAATCAAGCAGGTAGATTCAATCAGATGGTCAATTAGGTTACGTTTCTTTGGATATATTCTATGTGCATGTTTGGGAAGTAATGAAATTAAAATCTAAGTGATTATAAGCCTCTTACGGAATGTGTGAATAATAAGTGATAGTAATTGTTGGTCCTATGAAATGTTTGGAGAAAAAGTATGTTTGATCAGTTTAGATTATAATTTAATGACTTTGCAAACAAGCACATAATGGTTAAGGTAGCAGTTCAAGTGTTTTGACCACAAAAGTGATTTAAAAGCTTGGATTAGAGAACTTTTAAATCAGAATGCAGTTATCTTTCAGGTAAATTGTTACTGGAAGTCCCTAACCTCTTGCATAAGTTGGCACTTGATCCCAACTAATTTTTCTTGGTATTTGGGTCACCGCTAATGGGGTCCATAGTGATTTGCATGACATATAGTTTGAGGGTTAACATGTATAAACAAAAGTAATATCAGTGAAACAAAAAGAGAAATGGGAAAAGGAAAATAAGGAAAAGAAAAGAGTACATCTTCTTTCTCTACTTACATTGATCCAAGAAAAGGATCGAAACAAAGTACTAATGATAATACTACATATTTTATTGAGCACTGCACAACTACTTCTTTTTCCCTTTATTTTAGCTCAAAAATTCGAGATTAATCAGCTAGCCATATTTAATATTTCTTGTCACTACAGTAACCAGAGAAAATGATAAGCTCAATTTTTGGCAGGAAGACAGTGACTTGCCATGATATATCTGAGGGGACAGTGGCTGAGAGTGAGAGTGGGGGTGGGGGGGGGGGGAATATTTCCATTTTTTCCTTCTTTATTTTTTTTCTTTTCTTTTCTTTTGAAATGAGCGGAAGGAGGAGTGAAAAAAGGATTCGTGTAATCCAAATATATTTAGGAAATAGGCTTGGCCTCCTTTTGGCAAAATTCATAATGGTTTATAAAGAAGATTGTAGTAGGTCCTACGAAATGTGCGGATAATAATGATTAACAGTTATGGATGCCAAATATATTTAGGAAATAGGCTTGGCCTCCTTTTGGCAAAATCCATAATGGTTTATAAAGAAGTATAGTAGTAGGTCCGACAAAATGTGCATATAATAATGATTAACAATGATGAATGTATTATTGAAATTCATATTTGATTTTGAATGAATTCCTAAACCATTCGTAAATTTGTATCTAGAGGCTTAGTATGTAGTTCCTTTTCCTTTGTATGCCCCTCAAACATGTCAAGTGCAAATTATGTGACTGTTCAATGGTTTTTGGACGGAATTTTTCTTTGGCATCCAAGTGCTAGAAGTATTAAAGAATGGGGACCTAAACCATACTTAGGCAAGGCTACCTCTGGTGCCAATTTGCCCATCTTTTATGGATAAAGTTACTTGTACATCACATTTTTACATCATCCTTGTTGGCAAGATTTGATTGGTGAAAATACTGTTTTTTAAAATCTATCAAATGGTGTGTTGCCATGTGGCGGAGTGTAAAACTTGGTGTATACTATGATGTACACCAAGCATGATTTATCTTTTATTTCTTTTTTTCCCGACTCCTGATGCACTAATCTTGTGTTTATCGATAAATAGTTTAGTTGTCCCAAGTCAAATGTGAGCAAAGGATTTTATCAGGCTTATCATTATTTTGGATGCAGATTCAGATCTAATGAAACATATGCCGCCCTATTCGTAGTTACCATTACACATGGATGGGCCTGGGCGATAGTTATGATTCAATGTGCAGTCGACTAAGTGACAGACGAGGTGCCTGTCCAAAAATAATGGAAAACAAAGAGAAAATGAAGACTTTATACTTCAAGAGAATAAGGATGAAGCTCATTTCAGCTTATAGCTCTCTCCTCTGTCCAGATTTTTTCTTTTTCCCCATGTATTAATGTACTGTATACAGTATTGATTGTACGTACTCGCATATATCGAGCTATAACCTGTCGTCACTTGGGTAATTGCCAACGTGTTTGGACCAAAATTGGTGCCATAGCTGTTGGTTAGTGCCTCAGAGGGTGGCTGCGATATGTCGTTAATTAATTATGGGAAATAAATGAGATATTTTACACCGTGCAATTTAACCCTCCAACCCGGCACTTAAAACAATCAATGTTTATTATGCAACATTAGATTCTTACTACTCTACCACGCTAACAGAGTCTTGGCACTAAAACCCATATAATTTTGAATATCACTGCAACATTTCTGGCATCCTGCTTTAGAAATGGATTTTCACAGGAAAGGTCCTGCAGCAATGTGTATCGCCTACTTGGTATCACTGTAACACAACCTATGCCAAGATTGGGATTGAAAGGCTAGTTGATCCCCAAGTTTGCTAGAATAAGTTGACATCTGTTTTCTTAGGGTGGCGATGGCCGAGATATTTGTCTATCCATTTATCGTGTTTCCCTATTTGTTTTGCCAAGAAACAGGACCGATACAGATTATAGCAGGGGTGGTCATTTTGGATTTTGCTATGGGTACAAAAGAGACATGCTGGATGTCCAGGTGCCTATTTGGCGCCCCCCTATTGGGGGGTTGCCTGTCACTGTCAGACGACCCTCAAATAGGGGGGCGCCAAATAGGCGGGCCTGGACGTCCAGTTTTATTGGGGTACAAAAAATCACTACAGAACCTCTACAGAATTTTAAATGTGATGATGTGGCATGGCCCTAAAAAAAAAAATGAAAAAGAAACCCACTACAGAAATTTGCCCCACAATTTGCCCTATTTTCTCTCTTCCATTTCAACCATTTTGTTTCTTCCATTTCTCCCAAATCATCGTCCACTTTCCGGTCATGCACTCACCGTCACAAAAGACCAGCGACGAAGAAGCTGATACTACGTTGGAGTCCGCCGTTCAATCATAGTCACTCATCTCCATCCACAAGAACAATCGACTTGCGAACAATCCCTAACGATGCAAAACTTCACGTGATAGAAATAGATGGTTGAAAATGTTGGTGAAAAAAAAATTGATAGACCATCATCGTCCTCAATCTCATCCATGATCTGCAGCTTTGGTATACCATGTTTTTTTTCCAAACATCTTGAAATAAGAAAACTATAGATGAGTTTCAACTCCAATTTGTGAAGTGAGGGCAGCTAAGTGGGGGAAGAGAGTGAGAAGTTGAAAATGAAAAAGAAATTGATTGCCTAGCCAATTTATTTGTATTAAGGAATACAACAAACTGAATTCTCTTTATCCACCGGTCGAAGTTGCACCGTAGATGAATTGAATATTGATTGCCCAGCCTATTTACCCAGTGGTCGGAGTTGCGCCGGTCAGTCTTTCTATTTACCTACCGGTCGAAGTTGCGTCGGATATGAATTGAAAATTAGTGGTGGGTTTTGTAGTGGCACGCAAATTGGTTTTTGCTATGGTGGAATGAAATCCAACTCCGGATATGAATTGAAAATTAGTGGTGGGTTTTGTAGTGGCACGCAAATTGGTTTTTGCTATGGTGGAATGAAATCCAACTCCCCTGACCAGTCTTTCTATTTACCCATGAGTCGGAGTTACACTGGAGATGGAGCGAAGATTAGTGGTGCAATATTCATTGGTGGGACTTGACGAAAGGTAGGGGGAAATGGTGGTATGAAATCCCATTTCCAGTTTTTTGGTTTCCAGAGATAGTGTTTCCTATTTTCTTTTTTTTTTTCTTTTTTTAAATTAAGCAGTGCCACATCATCAAATTTAAAATCCTGTACTGGTTCTGTAATGGGTATTTTGTACCCATAGCAAAATTCGGTCATTTTTTGGCATTATTTTATTCTACATGAGACCCACTATGTCTTTTGTGAAATAATTTCTGTACAACTGGAATTACCATATTATAATCCAAATTGGAATTTGCTAGATGTACATAGACTTGTAATGGACACTCGACACTTCATCATTGGCTGAGGCGTTGGTGGGCCCCGACGCGGCAGGCGCCTCGGTGCCGAGACGTCAAGTATCCATAATGGACACCCCGATGTACAAGCCTATGTACATGTAGAATGGTCCATCCAAATTTGTGGTAGCATCAGGAGCTGAACCAGATGAAACTGAAGTTGTGTCTGTTTTGAATCTCAATTGTTTTTGGCGCGAGAGGTGTTTTCCGGAGAATTAAAATAAATAAGCTCACAATAAGAGGGAATGATGTTGAAACCCTTGATGTGATGGTTGCAAGAGGAAAAATAAAAATAAAAAAATCAACGCAATTATTTAAAAGCAGTTCTGAGGTGAGTAGGTGATGAAGAGTGAAGGACTTTATTTTTTATTTTATTTTATTTTTTATGGCGTTTCTCTTCCTCCAGCCAATCCAAAGGAAAAGTTCTTAACATTGGAAATAACAAGCTAGAGAGGGCAGTGAGATGTCCATACCCGTAATCAAACTAATGGATTGTCGTATTTCAGGGAATTTGCATTCTGAATATATAGTAGCTCATTCTGTCTCCATCTTAAAAGTAATTCAGAAATTACTGATGTTGACCCTGGAAATTGGTCTTTCCACGTGGTCAACTGAAAGCTACTCCACGTATTCCTCCTTGCTCACAATCAACGAATAGTCAGGCGCACACGGCTGGAACCAGCGAGGGTGGCGGCGGCCGTATACACTCCGACGGTCAAGTCAGGTTTGGGTGATCAGAACAGTACCCAGGGACTATGCAAATCAACAATAAAGGGGGAGGAAAAAATATATAAACTTGCTATGGAATGCTATGTAGTAAGAGTTTCATTACCTTTGCCTCTTGCTAAACTTTGAGTATTTATAGATGGTATGAACCGTTGGATGTGGAACGCGTGTATACATCTGATGGTATGAAGCATCTGCTCATAGGCGTCAATCAGCCGCGTTTGTAGAGTGGGCGGACAATTTGTTTCTTCTAAGTTGAATTGACATAAAGTTGATAAGTCACATCAACTAGCCTCATGGAGACGTCAAATCAATTTAAGTCTTAGGTGCAGGACAAATCTCAAATTGGCGGCGGATCTTCTAACCGGGGTCCACTTGATCTCGACCTCGGAGGTGAGATGCTTTGGCAGATCAGTAGTAGGAATCGCTATATCACTTCGGAGAAGCTTCGGAAGGGTCGTTTTCAGGTCGGAATATGTGGTGCTGCGCGGGGTCCACTCGATCTCGACCTCGGAGGCGAGATGACACTTCGAGATATGAGGCGTGTAGAATCGGAGCATAACAGTGGTCCCCCAAGTCCGGGGATGAATATTTATATCATTCGTGGACTTGCTTTCCTGACTGGACCGCAAGTCACGGGAGTTTTGGGGGTTGATCTATTGCAGCAATCGAGGTTATGATAACAGACAGACGTGCCAAAGTTTCGTTATTGTGCGTAGCGTACGAGGCGGTCAACCAGCATGGAACGTCGTGTTAGGTGCATCGAAGCTTCGCGAATATGGTGCGCTGACCCCACAGACCGACGCGTTGGGAGATGGCTGAAACTTTGTAAAGCATGGGAGGAAATGCGGCGTCCGAGGCGATGACCCAAAAGGGCTTTCGCGTCAGGTGCGTCCAAACTTTGTAAAGTTGAAGGAGGAGCTCATCTGCCACCGGTGCGCTGACCTAAAAGGTCGACGCGTTGGGAGGTGGCTGAAACTTTGTAAAGTATGGGAGGAAACGCAGCGTCCGAGGCGATGACCCAAAAGGGCCTTCGCGTCAGGTGCGTCCAAACTTTGTAAAGTTGAAGGAGGAGCTCATCTGCCACCGGTGCGCTGACCTAAAAGGTCGACGCGTTGGGAGGTGGCTGAAACTTTGTAAAGCAGGGAAGGAAACGCAGCGTCCGAGGTGATGACCCAAAAGGGCTTTCGCGTCAGGTGCGTCCAAACTTTGTAAAGTTGAAGGAGGAGCTCATCAGCCACTGGTGCGCTGACCCAAAAGGTCGACGCGTTGTGAGATGGCTGAAACTTTGTAAAGCATGGGAGGAGACGCAGCGTCCGAGGCGATGACCCAATAGGGCCTTCGCGTCAGGTGCGTCCAAACTTTGTAAAGTTGGAGGAGGAGCTCAATCCGAGGCGACTCAAACGTCAAATGATTTGACAATTGTTGCGTATTTTCAAGGTGACAGTTAGGTGCCATGCCCATTCTCCTAAAAGGCTGCTGCGGCTACTAATTATTATTGACGACTGGTTGTAACCGAGGTGACGCGTTTCAAACAAGCGTGAAAGTCACAGCGACATCTTGGGCGTAGATCAAATCTGGCATTTCATTTCAACGGCCTAGATTGAGGATGCGATGAATGGCTTAGATTGATCGCATTTGAATTCAACGGTGGAGATCGAATTGTTTTTCTATAAAAGGAGGACTCTGGGGTTTTCTCATGCTTTCTACCCTTGCAAAACTAAGATTATACTTTGCTCTCAAATTTTTGGCGATTTTCGAAGTTTTGCAAGCAATTTCGGCGAGAAAAACTAGACTTCCGGCAACCTTACACTATTTTCAACTAGGAAAACCTCCAAACCCGTAAGTTTCAGCACCTATTTAGGCTTTTAAATTTTTAAAGAATGGCCTCAGAGGGGAGCTCTGGTTCGGGGAGGGGTTTAGAAATAGTGAGGATGGACGAGCCCATTGTGGCGACCTCCTCAGAAATAGCCGAGGCAATAATTGGGGGGAAGAACATATGGAAACGACCGGATAGCCCACCAGATACCTATGTGCATTGGGGGGCGTCGGACTACCCATCAAAATTAAGGGAGGCCGACCTGGGGAGACTTAGGACAGAGTATAGGATCCCTGACAGCGTAGATTTGATCCTCCCCGGGCCGAAAGAGAGAGCCTGCTACCCTAGGCTAGGCTGTGTGGCCATTAGTGAGGCGATCCTTAGGGTCGGACTTAGGCTGCCTGTTCACCCATTCTTTAGGTTGGTGCTTAGATCCTATGGGCTAGCCCCGACGCAGCTCAATCTGAACTCCTGGAGCCAGATGGTGGGCTCCTGGATATTGTGGAAAAAGGCATCATTAAGGGTGGAGATGCCCCTTTCCGTTTTCCAGACCCTCTATATTCCCAAGGTTACCGCCGGGGGGATAAGACTCGGGGGTGGTATTAACTTACGTCATGAGGTTCCC